GGGGGCTCAGGGCTGGGGATGAGGGGTTTGGGGGGCAGGAGGGGGCTATGGGGGGCTCAGGGCTGGGGCAGGGGCGCGGGGTAACCTCGGGGGACTCCTGGGCAGCGGGGGGCTAAGGCCGGCTGCCTGTCCTGACAGGGTGATGCGCGCGCACCCCGGAAGCGGCCGGACGGTGCGGCTCCTAGGCGGGGGTGGGAGGCTCCATGTGTCGCTCTTGCTGGCAGGCCCCGCCCCCTCGCTCTCATTGGTTCCCGGCCCAGGGGCATGCAGAGCCGGTGCTCGGGGCAGCGTGCGGAGCCCCGTGGCCCCCTGGCGAGGAGCCGGACCCGCTGGTGGCCGCGTCGGGGGCACAGCGCGGAGCCGGGACAGGTGGGGACTCGGCTGCCTCAGCCCCGACCGGACGTTTACCTGCTCGGTCAGTGCTGCCGACCGGCGCCGCCAGGTCCCCTTTCGATTGGGTCCCCTGCCCCAGTGCCCCCCACTGCAGGCCCCCACCCCCTGCACCATGGCCCCGCCCGTTAGCCACGCCCCCACCCCAATCTGCCCCGCCCCGCCCGTTAGCCCCGCCCCCACCCCTGCAGCCTGGCCCCGCCCCCGCCCGTTAGCCCCGCCCCCACACCTGCAGCCTGGCCCCGCCCCCGCCCGTTAGCCCCGCCCCTGGCCCCGCCCCTACCCGTGTTCTGCAGCGAGGCGCCGCCCCCGGCCGCTGGCCCCGCCCCTACCCGCGCTCTGCAGCCAGGCCCCGCCCCCGGCCGCTGGCCCCGCCCCTACCCGCGCTCTGCAGCGAGGCGCCGATCTCGCGCTCCAGCTCCTCCAGCACCCGCAGCCGCTCGTTGGCGACGCTGTAGGTGGCCATGGCCCCGCCGCTCTCTGCGCATGCGCGGCCCGGACTCCGCCCCCCTCCCCTTCCCGGCGCTACATTGCCGGCGGCGGCACACGTGACCCGGAAACGATGGAGGGGGCGGGGCCCGGCCCGGCCTGGAGGCGCCACGTGCGCCGGGAGCTGGAGCGGCGGGAACGCGAGACGCGGCGGCTGCAGGGCCTGGTGCAGAGCCGTGAGCGGGGGCGGGGCCTGGGGCCGAGCGGGGGGCGGGGCCTGGGGCCGAGCCGTGCGCGGGGGGCGGGGCCTGGGGCCGAGCCGTGAGCGGGGGGCGGGGCCTGGGGCCGAGCGGGGGGCGGGGGGCGGGGCCATGAGTTGAGGGCACAGCAGAGTCCTGGCTCCCAGCCCCGCCCCTTTCTTCACTTACAGATGAGAAACTCCTGGAGCGCCGGGACCTGGAGCGGCTGTTGGCAGAGAAACTTCAGCTGGAGCCCGGGACCCAGGAATCCAGGTGAAGCCGGGACCATAATCCTCTGCTCCCGGGGGCTGCGGGTCGGGGGTGAGGGGCACCACAGAGCGTGGGGGGGCAGGGCTGGCAGGGGCGGCGGGTCGGGAGGGAGGGGCACCGCAGGGGGGGGGGGGGGGGGGGGGGGGGGGGGGCGGCAGCATCCGTGGGACTACCCCCCCCCGTGTCCCCCCCCCCCCGGTAGCTGGCCCAGAGCGTGGCCCACCTGAGCGACGCCCTGAAACGCAGCGAGGCCGAATGCCAGGAGCAGCGGGCCAGGTGAGCCCCCGATCCCTCCCCCGTCTCCTCCCCAGCCCGCGGGGCCCCCCAGTATCCCTGGGGGGCTGTAACCCACTGGCGTGTGTCTGCCCAGGGCAGGGCGCTGTGCCCGGGAGCTGGCGGGGCTCGCGGGGTGCTGCCAGGAGCTGCACGCCCGGCTGTGGGAGCAGGGCCAGGAGGCCGAGGGGCTGCGGGCAGCGCTGGGGGCGGCGCTGCGGGCGCGGGACCAGCTGGAGGCCCGGTGGGTGCAGGAGAAGCAGCTGGAGGCGCAGAGGGTGAACGAGACCAACGCCCGGGAGGAGAGGTGAGCCCCACGCCCCCCCAAGGGCACCAGCCCCCCCAGGCAAAGCCCAACATGGCCCCCCCCACCAGGCATGGCTGCCCCATGTGCCCTCCCTGCCTTGAGCACTGTCAGCCACTTCTCTGCCCCCCCCCACAGGGAAACGAGGGGGGAGCCCCCTGCGCCCCCCCCCCCCCCGGCTGGGCACCCCCTACCTGCCTGTCTGTGCCCCCCACAGGTATCGGGACCAGCTGTCACGCCTTCGCCAGAAGCTGGAGAGGATGCGGCTGGGAGGATCGGCTGGGTAACGCCCCCCCTGCCCTGGCACGCCCCCCCCCCGCCCTCCTTCCACCCCCCTGCCCTGGCATGGCCCCCCCTTTATCATGAGCACCACCCCGTCCCCGAGATATCCTGCACTCAGATTCCCACCACCCCCCCGTAACCTCCCCACGCCCTGCCCAGCTGGGCTGGCGGCAGCTTGGACACCCCACCCCACCCCAGACACAGCTGCATTTGGGGGCCTGGTGAGCAGCACCCCCTCCTGGGCAGGCCGAGGGAGGGGCAGGAGGGGCTGGGTGTGTACCCCCAAATTAACACCCTTCCCCCACCCAGACCCCCCAGGCTGGGCATGGAGCTGGTGACGAGCGAAAACACATCCTGCGAGGAGCTGGTGAGAGGAGAGCGGGGGCTGGTGGGTTAGAGCATGGGGGGCTGGGAGGCAGGACTCCTGGGTTCTCTCCCCGGCTCTGGGAGTGGGGTGGGGTGGGGTCTGGTTTGTCAGAACAGGGGGGGCTGGGAGCCAGGACTCCTGGGTTCTCTCCCCGGCTCTGGGAGGGGAGTGGGGGCTGGTGGGTTAGAGCAGGGGGGGCTGGGAGCCAGGACACCTGGGTTCTCTCCCCGGCTCTGGGAGGGGAGTGGGAGCTGGTGGGTTAGAGCGGGGGGCCTGGGAGCCAGGACTCCTGGATTCTTTCTGCCCAGTGTCAGGATTGTGGAGTCCTATGGTTTTTCTTCCGTCCCCCCCC